AAGTTACAAACATTCCAAACAGGACTAGTTTTTTTTGAAAACCCGCTTATGTAGGTGCTGCCACACGCAATTTCTCTATCAGCCAGATGAAAGGGAGACACCCTCCTGTCACCCACTGCTTAGCCCCCCATTGGTTAATTGAACGCGACCTGACGGAGTAATCGATAACCTCGCGCTGGCGTCCGCACGCCTCCGAAAAAGCCTCAGTGATCAGGCTGGCATGACGGCGATTGGTGGAGACGAAGTGCGTGCGCTCATTGGCCAGGCGGAGGAATGGCAGAAAGGACTGAGGCGCTGCTCGTTTTCCATACGAGGTTGGGAGTTCATTTGGACGGAGCGAGAGTAAGTGGGCGGGCCGTGTGCGTTGACATCTGTAGGCAGACGCAGCTCCTCATCCCGTGGGTTGAGCGATGCCTTTGTGTTCTGCACCTCTATGCGCATCACAACCTACTTGATTGAGGGGAATATCTGCCTTGAGCACCTACGTGACGTTAAGCCTTACCTTTATTGATTTTTGTACCATTTCCATTGGCGCAAAACCTTTTTCCATTTTATTTTCGAAAAGAACCAATCATATGCGTGCTTTGCACTCAATGAATAGTATTAAAACAAGTGGGTAGGCTTTTTCTTGCTTTTTTTAGCAAATATAGGTAGTGTTTTATTTGACGGATACGTTTTGAGGAAAATCAAATGTGTAAATAAGTAAACGTTGGAATGGGAATGTGCAATAATTTTTGCTCTAGTACTAGTGGTAAAAAAGAAATTAAAACCATCTCATTTACATGGTGGATTTCGTTTCTTTTTTCTAGAATAACTAGGGGGTAATTTGTGCCTTACTTAATCAGAGGGTAGTAAAATTCGGGACGAACATAGGATGGTGAATGTGTGGAAGGGAGTGGGTTGGTTGATACTAAAACCTCAATCTGGCCCTTAATTTTGACGGAAATTTTTGGCTTGAGAAGGGAAAATTTACAAAAGGGTGGGGATCAGTGACCATACACGCCAGGTGCTTAAGGTTCCTCTTTCAGATTTCATTACTGATGATGAATTTTTGCAGAAAACTTAAGTGAAAAATATTGAGGACAATGACGTTTAAAAAGCATTAAGGGTTCAATGCCCCACTGAATTTAACACCTCTTTTTCATTCACAACAAAGGCGAGGGAAGTGTTTGTCGTTTGTTGCATGGTCACGATAAGTGAGTACATTTTCTTGTGAGAATTGTTGTATGTTGTAAAAAAAATGACTTCGGTGGTTAAACGCTGTCATTAGGTGCCAGTTTTTTTCATCAAATCATTAACTGCTGTTGTAATTATGCCTCTGAATACACCGCAAATTCTCCGGTTTTAAATTTTTGATGAATTTGAATTGTTAAGGCGATGAAATTAACTGAACCGATTAAACACTAAAACCCTTAACCTCAAATTATTAGTTTTATTCCTTTTTCCTTCTTAAGCTATTTACTCAAGAATCGAATTTCGTTGCCAATCACTAAGTGCGGAGTCCTGATGGGGATCCATTTTTTGAATTCCTATTTACTTAAATTATTGCTTCAATACCCACCTTAGCTAAAAAATGTACCCAGTTATTCCCAATCGCCGAGGCTATGAGCGTCTGCCCAACTTTAATGCAAAGGTTTAGTCAAGCATTTAACGTACCATGGTCTAATAAAAGGTAAATTGCTTGAGTGATTCTCTAGTCATAGGCTAGCAGCGCCAATGGATACGGGATGGATGGACGGATGGAGTGGTGGAGGGATGGATGGCTGAATGAATGGGGGAGGACAATAGCAGACCATTAAGGGTTAAAATCCTTCAGTGGTCAGGGAATTATGAACAAAACCTGAAGATCGGGAACATTTTTTCTTATTGTAAAATAATAAAATAATAATCTGAATAGAAGGATGAGATGTCGTCAAGAATCTAAGGAATTGCATGACCATTTCAAGAACCTCAGGAATTTTGCGCCCATTTACTTAAATAACTTGGTTTTTAGCACTGGGTAGGAGTTTCAACAAAATGGAATTGTTCATCAGAAATGAAACCATTGAAACCCTTTGGGTGAGATACGGTCACTTGTTCTTCATTCTTAACAGACCTTTTTGTGAGTGGTTTCACTTAACAGAGGGGACAAAAATGATGCTCATTCTTCTATGAATCGGGTTGTAAAGGCTTTGCAAAATAGCCCTTCCTCTCTTTCTTTACATGCGAAATAAGGCTATTTGCACTGTAGTATCTCTTCTGGATTCGTTCGATGTTGCGGTCGAGAAACGCGGAGGATCGACGACACGCACCAAATGGCACGGACAATTGAAACAAAAAGCGGCTTTAAAATTGAGCACAGAAATGCACTTTTAATTTGCTAAATGAAACTTCTCCAGCTCACTTAATTTAGTCAATTGCCACTCCGTTACCACTCAAGAGTCAAGCCACACTTATAGCCTACAAAGCAAGTAGATCAGGACAGAACATTTCAGTCGATTTTAATAATTTGTAGTTCTAAGAAAAAAAGAGTATGAATTAATTTGGTGGAATAAATTGCGTCAATTTACTGTTTAGAAAAAATTTGGTGCACTAATTATTTCCACCGATTCCTTTTTTATGCAGACCTGGCTCTTTCGAGATCACCTAATCAAGAGCTGAAGTCCATCAGTACGGTACTCCTTATCCAGACCGGTAGCAGGCTTCTGTTATTTTGAACCTCTAATCGTAAAATATCCGTTGAATTTGATGGATTGGATTTAAGATTGCCTGCCTTACAAATCGAGCTTAATAGGGTTAAAAACCACGGAATCATCTCGTCGGCTTCTTTCTCCAGTGTCGAGGGAAGGTGCCGTACGTTGTAGGAGATATCAAGGCCCAGAAGTGATTTAAGGTGTCAAGGTCTAACTCTCTCGTTTAATAAAAGCTACGAGACAAATCCTTTAGACCTATATTAACTGATAAGGGTTGAGGTGGAAGCTAATTAGCAAATGGGTCCAACCCACTTACAATAGCGGACAACAATAACCTGGATGGACTATCGAGGCTGTCAGGAAAGCCTCGCCCCCCACTTTAAGTTGTTTTCTGGTTGGCTAACTAGTTCTGAGACATGGCTTTTGTGTTGTAACGTTTAGCTAACGAAGATATCATTGGCCATCTCCAAACGACTACTTCACCACCCACCCTATGCCTCGAAAACATTCACCACTCC